TCTTAGTAATAAACCCGCTCCACCCACATTCTCAGAAGCTGCAGCATTTGTGTACCATTATAATATTACTGTACTTTCACATACTCAAATATAGTATGCTTTAAATACACACCAAACATACTTAAACTTTATAAGTTTCCTTAATCCTCAACAGGTTACAGGTTGTGTGTGTGGCGGGGGGGAGGGCGCATAGCAAGGGTGTAGCTCATGACGTGGCCGTGATGATGTGGGTCAGGTGTTAGGTCAGACACGACAAGGATTAACTTGCCGCCGATACAAAGGGATGGATTAACGTCTCCAGTAGCTGCAGATATGGGTGATGAGCAGACCCAAAAGTGCCGCCCGGGGCGGACCGCCCCCGCCCCCCCCTAGCTACGCTAGTGGCAGGATGGACACCATTGAGCAGTTCTGCTCCTCCATACCCGCTGCTGCGCCGGTTCCTGACTCACACACTACGCCCTACAAGTTCCGACACACAGCAGTCAACCCCCAGCACAACAAATTTACCCTCTGCTGGTATCACCAGACTTTCGGCCGCTATGCTCGAAACTGTGAGCCCTATTGCACCTATTCGGGAAACGGCAACACCGGAGGCTGGTAGACGCCTCGGCCTCCGTCCCTCCAGGCGTCTCATTACTGCGCGTCACCGACCGCACCTCCGGCAAGACGTTCCTCATCGACACCGGTTCATCTGTCAGCCTCATCCCTCCCTCACTACGAGACAAGTCAAAGCAACCCTCGTATGACCTGTTCGCTGCCAACGGTACCTCCATCGCCTCCTACGGCGTACGCACCCTCGCCTTAGACCTCGGTCTGCCCAAGGCTCTGCGTTGGTTATTCGTGATAGCAGACGTGTCTCAACCCATCCTTGGTTTCGACTTCCTCACCTTCCACAAGCTCGGCGTCAAACCAAGTCATCTATGCCTCATTCATGAGCCTACAGCACGCAAGATCCAGGGTTCTCGTGCCAGACACACGGACGCTATCACCTGTCTTGCGCCTTCCAACGAGTTCTCCTCCCTGCTCGACGAATTCAAGGAGCTTTTCTCACCCCGAGTCTCCCTACCCCCACCACCTACGTCGGGAATTTTCCACCACATCGAAACCAAAGGACCACCAGTCTTTTCACGCCCTCGCCGCCTGCGCCCTGAGCTCCTGTACACAGCCAAAGCAGAATTCAACAAACTACTGCAAGACGGCATCATTCGCCCTTCAAGGAGTCCCTGGGCATCGCCTCTTCACATGGTTCCTAAGCGAACACCCGGCGAGTGGAGGGTGTGTGGCGACTACAGAGCCCTGAATCTCGTCACCAAACCTAACAGGTACCCTATTCCGCATGTCCAGGACTTTCACCACAAACCTCATGGCAAGACTATCTTCTCGAAGATCGACTTGGAGCGTGCCTTCCACCAGATCCCAGTAGCGCCGGCAGATACCCAGAAGACAGCCATCACCACTCCGTTCGGACTCTTCGAGTACACTTTCATGAGTTTTGGCTTACGCAATGCAGCACAGACTTTCCAGAGGTTCATGGACCATATGCTTCGCGACCTCGATTTTGTCACCGTCTACATTGACGACATCCTCGTCGCATCATCGACGCCTGCCGAGCACCACCACCACCTACAACTCCTTCTCCAACGCCTGCAGAACAACAACATGAAAGTTCATCTTGCTAAGTGCGTCTTTGGAACCTCGGCCATCGATTTCCTCGGTCACAGAGTCTCGCCCAGTGGCATACAACCCCTACCACAGAAAATAACCGCGATTAGGGAGTTCCCCAAACCTGAAACGGCGAAGAAACTCCGGGAGTTCCTGGGTTTAGTCAACTACTACCACCGCTTCATTGACGAAGCTGCCACCGTCCTAGCCCCCCCACACGACCTTCTCAAGGGATGCCCAAAGTCTCACAAGTCTCTCATGTGGACTCAAGAGGCTACTACGGCATTCACCACTATCAAACAGCACATCACACGTCTCACCCTCCTGGCCCACCCCGCACCTAACGCCCGGACCACTCTCACAACAGACGCTTCTTCTACTGCAGTGGGCGCCGTCTTACAGCAGGAGATCAACGGAACTTTCATGCCCGTTGCTTTCTTCTCACAACGGCTTCAACCACCACACCTCAAGTACAGCGCTTTTGATCGAGAACTCCTGGCCATATACTTGGCTGTCAGACATTTCCAACACTTCCTCGAGGCCCGTCAGTTCACCATCTTCAATGATCACAAGCCCCTCGTCCACGCCTTCGCTTCAGCTTCCCAGTCACATACACCTCGTGTCCTGCGCCACTTGGCTTACATCTCGGAGTTCTCCAGCGACGTCCAACACATTAAAGGCAGCCACAACGAGATCGCCGACGCCCTCTCTCGTTGTATATCCACCATTCTTCCCTCATCTCCACCCATTCATTATGGGCAGCTAGCCGCGGCTCAAGAGAAAGACGAAGACCTGGCAGCATACAAGACATCCCCCTCAGGCCTCATACTCCAAGAACTCCCTGTTCCTGGCACGAACATAAAATTGTGGTGCGACGTATCCTGTGGACAGCCTAGACCGTTCGTGCCTCACGTCCACCGCCGCGCTGTTTTCGACCGCATCCATGGTCTCAGCCACCCGGGTGTGCGGGCCTCCCAGCACCTCCTCACGCAACGTGTCGTCTGGCCCGGCATCAAGTCTGATACTAAGAAATGGGCTGCCCAGTGCCTGGCCTGCCAGTCCTCCAAAATACATCGTCACATACGGGCCCCCTTACAAGCTTTTCCTATTCCCAAAGGCCGTTTTCAAGTAGTACACCTCGACATCGTGGGACCTCTACCATCATCCTACGGTAGCACCTACATCTTCACCTGCATCGACCGTTTCACCAGGTGGACAGAAGCAATTCCCATGCCCAACGCTACAGCAGAGACTACTGTCCGCGCCTTCATGTCCGGTTGGGTTTCCCGTTTTGGCCCCCCAGCAACCGTAATCACTGACCGAGGAGTACAGTTTGAGTCACAACTCTGGCAGCACCTCCTACAGTTCCTCGGCACGTCTAGACAACGCACTACAGCATACCACCCTCAAGCCAACGGCATGGTAGAACGTTTTCACCGGCAGCTGAAGGACGCACTCAAGGCACAGCACGACCCTTACAGCTGGACTGATGCGCTTCCCTTAGTGCTCCTCGGCATCCGTGCGTCACACAAGGAGGATATGGATTGTAGCCCAGCAGATCTGACACTAGGCGAGCCCCTTCGGCTACCCGGGGATTTCTCACTCCCTCCTGATCCCAACCAAACCACTCCAGCCGTTCGTCACGACTTACTCCAAAAGCTACGACAAGCAGTTTCTGCATTCAGAGCTACTGCTCCACGCCAGCCTACTCGGCGCCCTGAACACATCCCTCCTGCACTACTCACAGCCGAGTATGTTTTCGTCAGGCATGATGCTCACCGCAACCCATTACAACGCCCCTACGATGGACCCTTCCAGGTGGTTACCCGTTCTGCAAAGTTCCTGACAATTATCCGGAATGGCAGACATGACACCGTCAGCATAGACAGAGTCAAACCGGCCACCTTACCCGTCGGGCCCCCAGCCCAGCAGCACCATCAACAAACTACGCCTGCACCAGTCCACCCGCAGTTACCACCGGCAGCAACACCACACCCACGACATTTCTGGGCACCCTCTTTTCACCCTCATGTACAACCTGCTCCTGTCATAGAACCTGAACCTGTAATAAACCTCCCTCCTATCATAGAACCTGCTCCTGTCATAGACCCTCCTCCTGTCATAGAACCTGAACCTGCTCCTGCCATGGACCCTCCTCCTGACGCAGCCCCTGCAGCAGCAGGAGCACAACAACCATTGCTTGTACAACCTCCTCTAATCCCAAACCCTCTTTCTCCTCCTAATTCTCCCACAGGTTTTGTGTCACTGGACGGAGTTGTTACACGTAGCGGTCGAGTCGTACATACACCTGCCCAGTATGTGTTATGTGTGGGACACAACCCGGACAACATCCAGCCTCCCGCCGCGCCTGGAGGGGAGGGGGAGTATTGTAGTGGAATTCTCCCCTACAACTGCGTAGCCACGCCACCACCTGTTACCGTCTTCCCTAGCAACCAAGCGAGAACTGTCACCAGATGTTACCGTATCTTAGCAACGGAACTAGTCACCGGCTACTTCTCGGGTTTTCACACCATGACTCATAGCGGCTGCTGCGGGGTATATAAGCTCTGTCTCTCCCTTGAGATTCATTCTGACCATTCTTCCTGAACAAGCAACATCTCCTCCAGCAAGCTCCACGCTGTTAACATTTCATTCAACCAGGAGGCCAGCAACAGGCAACACCTTCTCTAACGAAGCTCCTGCACATCTACCTCCTTCAACACGATACTCCCGAACGTCTTCTACTGAGCAGCTCCCCACCACACGGCATCTCCAGCACCAGACTGTCTATCATATAACTTATATATATTATATAAGAAAACCACATTAGAGTTTCCTTCCATCCTGAGTGCTAGACAACATTAATATCTCGTTACCCCTACAGTACCAAATGTCATATACTGTATACAGTAAATCAAATAGATATTTATCTTAATAGCCTGCACCAGCATTGTTGAACACTCGCATTCTAATTTCTTATATTTTTGTTTGTACATGTACTTCATTGCAGGGTATTGGTCATGTGACTCTGATCTTAATGGTAAATATAATAATAAAAATGGTTCTGTAATTTCTCAGAGAATAACAAATAAAACAAGTAAATAACTATATGTGATAATCTGGTTAGAAACTCTTGACGCTTATACTAATAAAAATTTACCTCGTTTTTATTTTAATTAGACAATAAAAACAATAAAATTATATATATATATATATATATATATATATATATATATATATATATATATATATATATATATATATACACTCTTGTAGAGTGAATGCGCTGCAATATTAGGATTACGGGTAAAATTTGTTGAATAATAAGGTTCCAATATTTCAGCGTGACGTCAGACAAGTCCAACCTTGTGAAAAAGGGGAGAAAGTGAATTGAGGTTATTTCCAACACAATTGAGAGACTTGATAGCGGTTACTTTGCACAGTAAGTATGAACAATTGCGATACTTTGATCCTTTATAAACCATGTTAAATGCCAGCATGATCTAGTGATTGAGAATTTATCAATAATACACAAAATGGCTACCGTTGATGAAGGGTCTTCCCCCGACAAGGGCAAAATGGACTTGACCCAAATACTTGTGTCTGAGCAGTTAATTTCTGGCTATCGCTATGGTTAGGTGGGCTCTATGGTACTGGATGACATGAGTCGATAACTTTGAGTTTTATTAAAATACCCAAAATAAGTGCACTGGGGAAAGTTTTTGAGCTCAAACGCTTAACTTCTTCCTTCAATACAAGAGAACTGTATTGGGCAATTGATAGTCATAAAAAGCAATGCAAATTTACAGTGTGGTTGATAATTGAGGTATAAATATAGTGTCGCATCCCTAAATATATAAGAAATAATTATTTTTCACTTGAGTTTTGTATTTCTACATATTGACTTAGACTGTTTAGGAATAACGACATCCAAGACCCTAGTGAAGAAGCCCTCGGTGACACTCTTTGGTTTCATTCACCCAATATACTGTTCTGGTCACCATTGTATATCTGCTCAGTTTACATACTGAGTCAATGTTAACGTGTGGGACAATTTTACTGAATGTCTATCTCTATCTATCTATCTCTGTCTCTGTCTCTAGGGGTCCGACTAATTACCCAAATGTACTCAAATGTAGCCGCAATTAAGTCAAATAATGGTCCTACATGAATAAATCGGACTGCCAATCACTTCTCGACTGGTATTTGGTGTCACGAAGTCACAAAAAATTGGTAAACTTAATTTAATCTGAGTTAATAGATCGAGTGCATGTACCTAACCTAACCTAACCTAACCTAACACAACTCAGATTAAATTAAGTTTACCAATTTTTTGTGACTTTATGACACCAAATAATAATCGAGAAGTGATTCACAGCCCAATTTACGCTTGTACGACCATCATTTGACTTCATTGCGGCTACATTTGGGTAATTACTCGCTCCCTCGGTACAAGCACGCGATCTATTAACTCGGATTAAAGTAAGTTTTCCAATTTTTTTTTTTTTTACTTTGTGACACCAAATACTAGTCGAGGTTAGGTTAGGTTAGGTTAGGTACATGCACTCGATCTATTAACTCATATTAAATTAAGTTTACCAATTTTTTTTTACTTTGTGACACCAAATACCAGTCGAGAAGTGATTGGCAGTCCGATTTATTCATGTTGGACCATTATTTGACTTAATTGCGGCTACATTTGGGTACATTTGGGTAATTAGTCGGACCGGGGAAAAAGTGCTTGATCAGTAAAGTTTGTGCAAAATACATTTTATTTATTTATTTTTTTACTTTATCCTCTTCACCACAATTTTTTTTCACTTAACACAATTCTATTGGCGCGTCTTCTGACTTTTTGTCTCGACCTCCGAGTTGCCTGAGTGGTTTCTTTCATAGATGAAGTTTTTTTTATAGTTAATAAAAGCATATGTTTCAGGTTTGAGATAAGAGAGTATTTATGTTTCATGGTGAAATTTAATACTGTAGACAGTTAAGACATGAACTCATCTTCACTATTACCCTTATATACCTTATTTATCCTTCAATGGGTGATGATATACAAGTACAGTAGTAGAGAATATTTAAAGTTAATAATGGTTTGTATTTTGTGAAAATCCATAGGCTTGATTAAAGCTTTGCCCACTCTGTTTGTTTGGGCATTTGATCAGTTTGTGGCTGTGTGATTTTTTGGTTAAGTCTAACATAGCATTTAAATCTAAGTTAAGTTAATGTTAGGCTAGGTTAGGTTGTACTTTACAAAAGAAGACACCTAATAATGATTGCTGATTTAATCAGGATTCTTGACACCCAGCAGTATTGAGGGATAGGCTAGGGCTCAGGTGGTAGTTTAGGTTGCTGTAAATTTTCTGTTGGACAAAAAAAAAAAAAATTCCTAGAATAACTTTACACATTTTTTGTTCTCCAAAGGGTCTTAATTTTTTAAATTATACAGTACTAGTGACATAAACTTGAGAAACCCACTTGTCTTTAAACCGAACAAACCTTTTATTCATGAATGTACTGTACAGTTGAGTCTGGATTTACGCGGTTTTGGTTTACGCGTTTTGTCATTTACGCGGTGCCTTGCCAGAATTGAAATGCTTGATTTACGCGGGAAGCGGCGTGGGCAGGGTGCGCACAAGGTCGCTCAGTCACCAAAACATTACCGAGTTCTTCACCCGCCACCCACCACAGCCGGCCCAAGTCAGTGATAGTGAGGATATGGACTTATATGGACTTTGAAGGGTTTGACAAAGAGGCCCTGCAAACCTCTGTGGTGGATAGTGATACAAATGATACAGGTGAGGGCCAATAATCTGCCCTCTGCCTCGGAACCAACCCCCCATCCCCGTGTGCCCAGCCATCTTTTCTACTAATGTAAGTGTTAAAAAACCTAATATTATTGATATTTCTCTTAATTATTAATTGTGTGTGCATACCATCATAAAATTTAAGATATTATTTTGACTACAAGGTACGTATTGTGTTGGAAAAAGTGGAGTTTGGGGGTCGGCCTAGTCTCTATTTCAATTAATCCCATATGTTCTGTTATTTCATTTCATTTATGCGTTTCTCGTTTTACGCGGTACTCCGCGGGTTCAATTGACCCCATAAATGAAGACCCAACTGTACTAGGTACGCACTGACTCCAGAATGTACCTGTACCTGGTAACGTCTTAACACTAGCAGGTTATTCCAAGATTTCACAACTCTTATTCTGAAAAGTAAGCTCTGACAATTTTCTGTACTTGTGGCTTTAACTGCTTGTGTATGGGCTTCCCTCTGTGCTGAATAAAAGCATCTGGCATTAGCCAAATAAAATATTAAAAGTGGTAGTCCCATAGCATAATGAAGGGGTTAACCTATGGCTGTGACCTACAGTGAGGTAGGCATCCACTAGCTCCAGATATGAATGCTTAACTGAATGATATTCTCTGAGGTGCTTGTAAACTTCTATTAAATCACCCCATTCCTGTTTCTAGTATAACTTAGGCAACTGCAGGAGTTGATATGTTAGGTGCGAGAGTGCACTCACTAGTTAAGGGGAGCTCAAGTAACTGAAAATCACAAGAATATCTGAGGAAACTTAAACAAAACTGTGACTTTTATTTCTATGATCTATTTTTCCAGGCACCTACTTTAAGGACTACACAGGATGGCAGTACTTTCACAGTACAGTACTCCAAGTAGGGAACACCTCACTTTGAAGAGTGGTACTAGGGATTATCACAGTTATCAGTGAACTTCATTTCATTGTTAACATGCACACCCAGATAATTTTTACATTGGTCTCTATAATTTCTTTTGTCATATTGGGACATGTGATAGGCCTAGGTATGACTTCAAGGTTGAAGAAGCTGCAAGTCCAGGAAACTGTGAGGGCAAACTTTTTCAGAGTGAGAGTTGTGAACTCTTGGAACAACCTCCCAGAGTGTGCTGTGACGGCATCGAGTGTGAGCTGTTTCAAGACCAGACTTGACCAGCACTGGAGCTGGTTCAGATACATTCAGGAGCCAATGCCTGCCCAATACAGTAAAAGTCCAAAAATCCGGATGCCAGACATCCGGAACACCCGAAAATCCAGACTTTTCAAAAACTCAAACTTAACTTTTTTTTTTTTATTTTTTTTTTAGTTGGCTTTTGTGTGTATGTGTGCATGTGTGAGCGCCACAGTGACAACAAGCAACCACGCGGTCGCCACTTTAAAACAAGCAATCAAACTGTGACAACGTATGTAATTTTGTGTCCTACTCTTTCCATTTACAGAGTACTGTACATGTACTGTACAAGCCCATAATAATGGCTCCTAAAGTAGATAAACTTCGTTGTGTGAAGAGAAAGAAGAACACGTTGAAATTGAGTGACAAACTTGAAATAATTAAGAAACTAGAACGTGGTGTGAGCAATACTGTTCTAATGGAAACATACGACATTGGAAAGTCTACAATTTATGATACAGTATAAAAAAGGCAAAGAATAAAATTTTAGAATTCACAGCTTTTTCTTTAAAATTGCTCGTTTTGATAAATGAAGCATGCTATATTTGCTAATGAATAAACTATCAAAATGTACCTGTTCATCTCTTCCTTATTTCTCCTTAAATTTGAATTTTAAAAGTGCTGCCTGAGAATCCGGAAAATCCGAAAATCCGGACTGACCTAATCTCCAAGCAGTCCGGATTTTTGGGCTTCTACTGTACTTATCAACAGTGTGTACCAGAGATGTGACCGACCATCCAAGCAGCTAACAAGCCGATCAGTGGCAAAGAGGATAAAAGTACTCTGAAAGTAAAAAAAGTAAATGCATCCTCTTGCATTTTGTAACTTTGAAGCATACCAGCCATTCCTTTGACCATGCCTGTAGCCAATTAAGAATTTCTTGTAGCACGTCACAATCTGTTTGGTTCTTAATTTCCATGAAAACATAGTGTCGGGCTTGATGTGTCGTGAGGAAATTTGGTAAGAATTTCAGGCCACCTATCCCCAAAGGCCAGACAACTCACACCCCTCCTTTTACAGCTGCAAGGACCTAGCTTAACATTTTGTGATATGATCTTGTACTGTACTCTGTAGGTTGCTAAAGAAATGATTGACTGTCAAATGTGCAGAAGTAGCATGGGTGATTTTAATGTAAAGTACTGTACAATACATGAATATGTATGAGTGTCCCCACAGCTTGGGGCACAGTACAGTACCGTACTGTAATTCTGTAAGCAGATATGCACTATTATAGCATACAGTATTGATTTAATGAAGGGACATGTTATTACTTCACATCTTAGGATTGATAATTGCATTTTTGGTGGGAAAATTATAATGATGTGAAGAAACCTACTTAAAAAGCAATGATGTATCATACAGTATTATGTAATAACTAGAGTGCACTGTATACTGTACAGCACAGTTACAGTACTTTTCTAATTGCAATAGATTGATTCCTTGAGCTAAATATGAATAGGAATTTATCAAGCAATTATTTAATCAGCCTTTTTTTTTTAATTTCACTCATAGGATACATATGAAGCTGTATATTATAAATTGTGGTACAGTATATTATTATTGTACCTGTACTAAATGGAAGGTATCCCCAAAACAGTTACATGTTTACATATTTTTCCCTACAGGTATAAGTGTGTTCTCAAACAAATATGGCAGGTAGTGGTCACCAGGGGTCAGCTCTTCCCTCATCTGTCAGACATGAATTATCACAGGATTCTGATTCTGATGATGTAGATGGTGGTGAACTTTGGCATCACAGGAGACTTCAGCAACAGGTTGGGCTACATGCTTATTAATGAATAACTTTTTTTTCAGTTTTAGGAAAACCAAGTCTTGCAAAATTTGTAATACTTGACAAACTCTCCCATTACAATTAGGCCGCAGTCACGAGTGAAAATATTTTTGGTTTACGAAAAAGTGTGTAAACTTTTTCCACAGCATCTGTTCTAATTGTGTTAGAGAGATGAATTTGTAACCACAACGATACTGAATATATTCTCTAAAAGTCTGTTTCAATAAAAGATCCTTAAATAAGATATTTTGACATATAATGTTGAGATCATCAATTCCTTTGTGAAAAACATAAGAAATTTTTAAACTGTACAGGAGTCTGTAAAATCAGTTCTAATTAAGTTAGAAACACCATTTTTTTACTGAAATAATCCTGAATAATTTATCTACAATTTTAAGTAGATATATAAAAATAATCGTTATGATATGGGCCATAAAATGGAGGTATTTTTTGGATGTGAGGTGTCACAACTGAAGCAGTACACACAGCTGTTAGGCGTATGAGAGCTTCTGGCAACACCAGTACAAGAGTCAGCACTAAGCTGTCCAGAGTGTATGAGAGACCAAAGAAAAATGTACTTTTTTCCACATGATTAAACCCTAAGCGGCTAAAAAAAAAAAAGTTAATATAGCATATAAAAACCCTGAGGGTGTTAAATCTAGGTTAAAAATTACAGTAGGCTTGGTGTTCGTAGGCAGCTTGACTCGAAGATCTGTAATTTTTCAACCTATACAGTACTGGGGAAAGCTTTCTGAGAATGTTAACTATGCATTTTGCATGGAAAGACACAGAGCTGTATTTATTTATGCAAACACCACTGTACATGTATACTATATTGAAAATGATCAAAATATATTTATGTATACACGAGTTGGAAATGTACATAAGTCGAAGCACATACCCTATGTGCACTATATCATAGCCCAAGTCCTTTTATACATCTTGAATCACTTAATTTAAGAGAAAAGAAGAAATTTAATGACAAAATACAGTAAAGGAAACTAAAAATCAAAATGTAACACTTACATTGAAACCTGGGCCAGGCTTGCATGTAGAGATGGGCATTTGTAGGAGTGACAGAGGCTTTACTGGAACGGTTGAACTGAAACTTTCTTCTTATTGTCATAATTCTCTCTGTAGGATCAGAGATATTCAGTAATATCTCTCTGAATCTTGGTGAATTTTGCTGTGTTGGTATCTTGCAGTTTAAATTTAAACAATCCTTCTTCAATAAGCCTGAAACAATCTGCCATTTATTTTGTAATAAATCCCTTTGGTTCTGGAGTTTCAGTTTCCTCTACATCCTCTTGACAAAATTTGCTTCTCCAATTCAATCAGGTCCACACTGCTTAATTCTTCAACATGAGACTCAAGCAACTGTGTGACATCATTTTCATGAATATCAAGCTGGAGTTGGTTCACAAGGTCTACCACTGTCTGTGTCACTTCCCCAACATCATTTTCAGAGCCCTTGAAATTGTGGACAAACTGTGGGCAGAGTTTTTTCCAAACACCATTTGTCCTTACTTTTAACCAGTTAAACCAGCCCCAACTAGCAACAAAATCTTCCCCATCACTGTCACCTCCCACGTTTAGCCTTCAAGTCAGCATGCAAGCTTCTCGCTTTTTCCTGAATCAAGGCTAAACTTAGGCAAATCCCGTTTATTTTGATCATCCATCCATATCACTAACCATCTTTCCATTTCAATTAACAATCCACTTCTTTGTTTTGTTATCACAGTTGAGTACATTGGTGTTGATCCTTTTACATATTCAAGAATTTGGTGTATGTCTCAAAAAAATTTCGACTGAATCCCAACGTTTTACCAATGACTGAGGGTGTTTTGCCTTTTCCAGAATGTTTAATTACATCAACCTTCACTTCCATTGTAATTGTTTTAATTTTCTTTGATTCACTACTATCACTTGCATCTGGTTTGCATTTGGGAGCCATGATGGGGGCAAAAAAAAAGAGTTAATAAGCAAAAAACGACAGTTTGCAATGGATTATGCACGTTAATGTGGTGAGTTTAAAGCGTACTCATGCTCCCTCAAAGCGTGTAGCTGGATGACGCATTACTCCCTACGCTCCGCTACGCCATGCAAACTAGTTCTCGTACGTTAATACTACGAACCAGTTATGCCTATGTTGGACTCTTAAAATAATTTACTTTATAGGACCTCGTCCATATCGGCGGGTGTTCATAAGTCGGGTACCCCCTGTACTGTACTCACCAGCAGATGCTATCATCTTGGGCTTGTGATGCAGGCAGGCCAAATGGTGATACTGTATGATGATACAGGATGGCCTGCCTTTGTCCTGTATTATCTACTGTAGCAGATGTTGCTATCTGTCTCTTTCTTCTCCCTCCATGAAGGAGGAATTGTACATATGCTGTACACCATACATACACCCTGTACACACTAGCATACACTGTTTGCACTGCTGTGTATTGTACAGTATCTCAAAAAAGTATTTGTTTGCACTCTGTGTGAAGCATTATGAGACCATGGGTGATAGATATTGGGACATGTATTTACTTTTATATATAGTTTAACATAAGTAATGCAATGTTTATTTTTTTCAGCATAATTAATATGATGTTCAGTTACCAAATATAATAGGATCAGTATGCCACAGAGCCTTACATACCAACCCTCCCAGGACATCACGAGTGCAAGAGTTGCACTTACCGTAGCATTCCAGAAGTCATCGGACCCATCCTGGCACATACAGTATATGTAACTGTAATCACTTTTTACATTGTAATTCTGTTCTGGTTTAACAGTATTCTTGGCTGATGTCTCCTGGTACAGTACAGTAATGTACAGTACTGTACTTCACAATACAGATCATATGCAAAAGCAGCAGTGAACAAGTGAACAAGCTTGTACAGTGGCAGCAGACAATGAACTAAGAGTATCATGATGCAGGAGTTTGAGGATATAGGCTGGACGATACATCAGCCAATCATAAGCATCCCATGTAGTAATATGACAGTACAGTAGTGGTCAATCATACCTCATGAGTACTTTGAGCCTATCCACTCACATGGCTGGCACATGTCTCCACTTTGGAAATATAATGCAATCTCTTGGAAATTTGTTCCCATGTTTGGAATGGAGAGATTTTCTCGGAATTTTCCAGAAATGTGCAAGATGCAATCCTCGGAAATTCGTTCTCATGCCCAGAATAGAGATTTTTGCTGGAATTTCTTGGAATGTTAAAAAAACAAAAACAATCTGGTTATTGGAAAGTTCTGGGGGATTGAAGATTCCAAGTAATGGAGAGATTACTTGTACAGTATATTTGAAAGTGAAAAAATCATTAACAATATGGAGGTTAAAGAAGATAAATCTTATCAAAGAACACATAAAATTATTATTTTATTTTTTATGTTATTTAGGGAGAGTTTAAGCTTTTCTTCATATAACTTTAGAGTCAACTCGGTTTATTTAGAAATATCCATGTTTTACACCAGTGGAATAATCTATTGTCAAGAATTGGTTTTTATAATTTTATTTTAAGACATTTAAATATTTGTAACCCTGTTTATAGAAATTGTTTTTTCAACAGGTGGGGTACTTGAGTTTAGGTGGGGGATTCAGTGGAGGATTGTCACCACAACCGTCATCAAGTGTGGAATGCGAGCGACGAGTGAGTCCTTTAGACCCCAACCTTTCATCAGCTGCACGATATTCTCCACCACCCCCATACAACAACCCGCTGGCAGGAATAGAAGCATCACTGGAACATCCTGATTCCCCAATGGAAGACTTGTCACATGCTGGTTCTCTTCCTAGTCTCCCAGCTGGTGTTAGCAGTAGTATTTCCAGTGCCACAGAAAGTCTTGCTGTCACTGAAGCACATAGATTACCACCATCTTCAGTGGGACGAGCTTCAGCTAGTCGAGGAAGTAATTTAGTATCTGCTAACAGCCTTTTTCCATCACAGCCAATTTTATCACGCTCACAGCCAAGATGGGCCTCATCTGATGTAATATCTGATGATGATGATGAGGATGATGGAACTGTTAGCCCAGCTTTGGGTGAAAGTGTATGGGCTAAACAGAAAAGATTAGCTTTGAGTAATATGGTGGACAGTGGTGCATCTCAACCAGGACCTAGTAGACTTCAAGCTGTGACACAGGCCAGTCCCAGTATGCCTCAGCCTGGCCCAAGTGGTCTTCAGGCTGTGTTACAACCTTGTTCTAGTGGCATTCAAGCTATTGGCCATCCTGGCCCAAGTGGCCTTAGAGTTATGCCTCAGCCCAGTCGTAGTGTTCTTCCAGCTGTACCATCTAGTCATCATATTATGTCTCGACATCAGAGGTCAAAGTCTACAGACAGTGATAATGATGATAGTAATGACTCTCCAGAGAGTTTACCGCAGCTTAGTTCTACTCCTGGACCATCTGGTATTAGAAATAGATTAGTTCGGCTTAGTGATGGGGAGGCAGAGGCACTTAATGGTGTTGCAACTGGTTGTGAAGCCAGTAGTAGTGTTAGAAGTCATGTATCCCCATTAGGGTCACCTAGTACACCTGCAGATAATTGTATTGTATCATCTTCTACTGGACATATTGACTCTATACCACCCACACCTGCTGAATATCAAGGCAATGATGTATCTGGGCCCAGCAGCCCAATCTCTCCAAGTCTGGCCAGTACTGCTATACTTGATTCAACTGTTGATTCTACAAGCGGTCGTGGGATTATGGATCCAGATGGGCAAACCTCTGATGATGATGAGTTAGCACCAACAGGAGAGATGCAGTTGCCAGTAATGGGTGATGGAGATGAAATATCAACATCAGAAGTTGGCTTGCAGCACAGTGATGACAGTCAGGATGTTGCATTGCTTGTCAGTCCTCAAGGCATGTTCACTAGTGGAAGAGCTAGTGCCAATCGATTTATAGAGCAACTCTCTCTTTCTCTCTCTCTTTCTCCTCCACCTCCCCCTGATCCAGGGCCATACCTTAATGATCCATTGGCTATCCCAGGACCCAGCAGGGCCTCATTGCCTTGTACATCACAAATAACCAGTAGAAGAGTTAGTGCAGCAGTTGATCAAAGTAGAGATCAACCTTCTACCTCCAGTTCAGATAGCATGACAGATCCAGTGGAAGTTCTTGACAATAGTTTACCATTGTTGGAAATTGCATCAGGATTGCCTGGATGTAGTACAGCTTCTGATGCAGATCGCTTAAGCGATGGAAATGGAGCAGCAGGACTAGGAAGTGCCTCAGTAAGGATAAAAGATGAATCAGGACTAGGAAGTGCATCAAGAAGGCTGGAGCCCCTTGTGTCCCTCTCCAAAAGTGTGACAAATGTCATTGATGATGATAATTTAGCTGGTAGTACAGGTAACCAGGATCTTAATCAGCTGAGCCAATCTTATGTTCTTGAGCTCAATGAAGAAAGCTCAGTTGGTAGTGAAAATGCTCTAAACTCTGGCTCTCTTACTAAAGATGATCTGACTGATAGACGACTTAACCAAAGAAACTTTGATGGTTTATCAACAGGTCACCAATCACTGCTTAACACTAAAAGGTTAACAGAAGAATCCCTAAATAATTCTCTCAGTCTAACCTTAGCTTCATCAGAACGAAGCAGGGTGATGGAGACAGATGTAGCCTTACCAGGAACAACCCAGCAGTCTGCAATGGCACAACACTTAATTCCTTCTCAACCAGATCAGGTCAGTCATGTTGTTAAGTTAGCTTTTTAAATTTTCTGTTACCTGTATTAATATTGAGCTATGATCTCATATTAGAATTACTGTATAGGATTTATGACCTTCATTGTTGCAACATTAAATGGATTGTTAAAGTCAACACAGTACTGTTAAAGTTATTGTTGTTTATAGTACAGGGGTAATATTACTCTAATTATTAGTTTAATGATAATATTTTTGGCACAGGTTTCTCTTTTGGTTGGTGGGGGGGATGACAGCAGTGATGGAGCTCTCCTGATGATGGTGTCTTCAAACTCTCACGCTCTGCATAACACCCTTTCCCTTGGTATGATTTGATATTTAGTCTTTTGAAGTACAGTAAACCCTTGTTATTTGTGGGTTTGTGATTTGCAGTTTTGATTATTCGCAGTAAGCAGATGGTGGCTAGCTTGTTATCCTCTCTAGCAGTGCAACGAGTCACCCCCACACACCTGCAGCGTCTCCTCAACTTTGTTTGCGCTCAACCATTGCCTGGCACGCAGCATCTCTTGTGTTGTGCTCAAAACTTTAGTGTTTCTGTGTGAAATGGCCCCTAAAAGACTTCTAGTGGAATGAAATGTAAAAGGCAGAAGTTAGTGATGATTCTGACTGAGAAAGTTGAATTGTTAGATAAGTACAGAGAGGGGATGAGTGCTGCCGCGGCTGGTCGATTATTTGGTATTGGTATGCAGCAGTGCAATAAGGTAATACAAGTTGCTATTTGCAGTTTTGCCAGTTCATGCCATTCCTTGGAACCTAACCCCTGTGAATAACAAGGGTTTACTGTACTGTAATGGGATGACTAAGGTCCTGGTGTGGCACATAGCTTGTCACCAGAAAGGATAAAAAATTACCCTCCTTTATTTTTTATTGTTCATTGAATTTGTGTATAACAAAGAAATCCATTCTTATTGAGGATACTGTACTACTTTATAGTATAGTACTGTATTCAGGTATTTGTTCTTGCATCGCCTCATTAGAAACTGGTGTTTTCACATGAGATCTTGAATGCTTAAGAGCCAAAGTTTTCTAACAAATACATTTTTAGAGGAATTGGATACATATTTTACATCTATTTATTTAATTTTTTTGTGAATTCATTGGAGTTAATACTATTTTGTCAGCAAGGTCAGTAATACATATTATATTAAAAATTGTACTGTACTGTGCAGTAATGAAATATATTTTTTTCATTTCATTCATTTAACAGGATAATGAAGATTATATTTTTCATGAAAATGTTCCTCAAACATCCTGTACTTTATTTCAGGGTTTTAGTGTCTGATTTTATTTTCCTTTGTTATAGAGAAACAGCTGGAGCAAGGAGAAGCCAGCAGCCTTGCCCCTGACCTTAGAACGTCTGAATCACAGGTTAGTACAGTACAGGTATACAGTATTTTTTTATTTAACGAACTAATTCGAACCACCCCTTTCCAGAAAACCAGCTCTTTGAAGTGAGACAGCTTGTTTGAGTATGGATTCACAAAAGAAGGCAGAGCATTCCACAGTTTGGCTGTGTGAGGAAAGAAGGATGTATTATAACGGGTTATTCTAGTGTGATCGACATCCACAGAGAAACGGTGGGCACCGCGGGCAAGATGAGTATTGCAAACCCACGGCCTTGCCGGTGATACACAGGATGCCAAATCCACCGAACATTGCCCGTTAAAGTACCTGTAAAAGAGAGAGAGTGAAGCAACATTGTGGCGAAGAAAAAGGGAAGAAAGATTGTCAGCTAAAGGAGGAGAGTTAATAAGACAAAATGCCTTTGATTCCATGCCACCCCAGATATGAGAGCAGTACTCCAAGTTAGGATGAATGAATCCCTTATAAACTTGAAGCAACTGCTGAGGAGTGAGGTAGCTACGGCATCTGTACAGCATTCACAGCTTTCGGGAGGCAGCTTTAGCAATGTTGAGGATGTGTGGCTTCCATGACATATTAGAGGAAATCGTGAGACCTGGCATATCTATTTTAGAAATTGGCAGAATGATTGCGTCCTGAAATGTGATCAGTGGGAGATCATCTAATTTGGAAAGTGTAATTGGTAAATACTGAGCTTTAATACTGTTGAATTTAACCAAGTTTCTACCTCCCCATTCAGAGATGCTGCGCAGATCCGCATTAATAGATGATATGATATCAGCTCTAGGAATAGATCTAATTTGAGAATTAGGGGAAGGAAAAAATGTGAAGAAGAGTGAAGAGTAGAATCATCAGCATAAGAATGGATAGAACTAGTTGTAGTATGAAGTGTATCATTGATAAAAAGAAGGAAGAGAGTAGGTGAAAGAACAGAACCCTGTGGGACACCACAACTGCCATGGATCAGCTCTCAAGGAAGCTAGAAATTAGAGAACAAAGAGGGGGAGAGAAACCATAAGAGGAAAGTTTAGAAAGCAAAGATTTGTGCCATACCCTGTCAAATGCTTTGGAGGTGTCGAGGGCCATGACGAAAGTTCCCCATAATCCCTAAGAGAGGATGACCAAAGATGGGTTCAATAGGAGAGCAGATCACCAGTAGATCTCGCCTGGTGAAAGCCATACTGGTGATCCGACAAAAGAGAAAAGCGTTCAAGGTGACGGAGAAAATGGGAGTTTAAGATAGTTTCGAAAATCTTAGAGAGGGATGAAGTTAGGGCAATGGGGCGATAGTTAGAGGGTTTGGAATGGTCACCCTTCTTCGGGATGGGCTGAACCGAGGCATGCTTCCAAGAAGAAGGAAAAGTTTGGATTTTGAGGCAAAGGCGAAAGGGTGAGCAAGCACGGGCTAGAAATTCAGAACACGAGGTGGTATTCTGTCTGGTCCATGCGCCTTACTCACATCCAACCTGGATAACACACCACCAACCCTATGAGTGGAGATTATTGGAAAGTGCATAGGTTCAGTAGGAGGAGCAGGAGTAGGAGAGATAGAGTTGGAATCAGCTAAGGTGGAGTTAGAGGAGAATAAGGTGCCAAAGAGATTGGCTTTATCAGGGGGGAGAGTTGGCTATAGAGTTATCAAGTCGGAAGAGAGGAGGAAAAGAAGGAGAGCAAATGTTTTTGGTTAAGGACGAAAAGGATTTACTAGAAGAAGAGTTAGTCAGGACAGTAATGTTTCTTTTTCTAAAATTCCACTTTGCCCTATGAAGAATAACCTTACAACGATTCCTGGAAGTAATGAAAGAGGAGTGGGTAACAGGAGAAGGAGACAATTTCATAACTTGATATGCCCTGTCTCTCTCTCCATACATGCAAGAGAACGGGAGCGATCAAACCATGATTGTAAAGTGAAAGTTTTGGTAGAAGATGGGATAAATGCACTCATGCCACCCTATATAACCCCAGCAATGCTGTCAGCACATACTGAGGCATCCCGAGTGGAAAAGGAACATTCATTCCAAGGAAAGTCAGAGAAGAATTCTCGCAAGGATTGCCAGTTTGCCCTCCGATAGTGCCATAGTTGGCGATTAGAGGGGGTTGGGGGAGGTGGTTGTGCCCAGTTTGAATTAATAGAAATAAGATTGTGATCAGAAGACCCTCAGGGGGCAGAAATTGAGAATGAATAGTGTGAGGGGTTAGAGGTAAAACAAAGATCAAGAATGTTAGTAAGCTGATTGTGTCAATCAGGAATGCGCGTAGGGTGTTTAATTATTTGTTCCAGATCATTAAGTAAGGAAAAAGAGAGTGCCTCAGCTCCACCTGGGTCATCCCTTGCAGAACCAAGCCACTCTCTGTGATGTGCAGTCAGCCAAAGATGCACCGACCCCACCCTGGTTCTCGTGCTCACAATTTTACCTGGCAATACTTGAAGGAAGGCTGTATGTAATGGGGATTGTGATTGGTGGATTTATTTTCGGCTGTATCACTGTCAGGATAAATATTAAACGATCCAAAAGTAGCATTTTTTTATAATAAACTATTCATCGCTTAAATAATGAAGAAACTATATTAATGAATTGGTAATGCAGCTACAACCAGGGCTGCCACGAGATTCTCACATCAAATTTCAAGAATATATGTTACACATTTAATCTTTAGTGTTTCATGAAGGAATTAATTGTCTTTACAATGTGAGTATTACATAATATAATTTGACATAAGTTAGAGAGCAGCCACTGTAATAGACTCGACTGACACAATAATGGCATGTGGTATCTCTGCACCAGCGCCGCGCGGATGTGTGGAGAAGGGAAAACACTGAAGTGGTCATTTTGGTGTTCTACTAACTGCATTTGATGGTATTATAATTAATAACTCATTGAATGAGAGAGAGACAGACAGACAGACAGACAGAGTATACTTATATAGAGTTGATGAGGACACAGAAAGGGGTTGAATAGCTCTTAGTTATTATGTGGGTTTTTAGTTCCTCACTTTTTTATTTCTTTTGAATCATATTGCAACTGGCTTTATTTCATTGCATAATTTAAATTCAAGTTTTATAATATATTTCTTTCTTTCGAGGAATAAAATATAGACAGGTGTATTATTTACAGTGTATTGTTTAATAACGGGTCCATCCACCCTCTTTATCAATTACAGCTTGCAGCCTCTGCTGCATAGAAGATGCTTTGTTTGTTAAAAGCCCAGGTTTGTTTCTAAAAATCTTCCACTGTCTTTTTCACGTGGTCAAACAGCTGGTTTGGCGTCCTCTCAAACTCGGACTCCCAGGAATTGACGATACTTGCCCAGATATTTTTAATGGGATTCATGTCGCATCCCTTGTTCGGCAATTCCAAGAGCCTGAGGTGTTGCTGACCATCAAACAGTGACGCACTGCTCTGGCTGTGTGGATGAGGCATCTATCATGAATAAAAGTAACTGGCCCAGCAAGGAATGAGAAATTGCATTAATGAATTAAAGGGAGGAACTGATTCCTCAGGATGTCTAGGTATTTATTTGCCGCAAACCTCCCATTAATTTGGAAAACATCTCCCATACCGTGGAGGGATATGTAGCCCCCACACGTTCAGCGTCACATTTCCACTTCTAGCCACCTCGTATATGTGGGCCCTTTCGTATCTGCAGGAAGGGAAAATACAATACAAATATTGGCCTAATTAAGCTATTACATCTTACATTAAGTTTGTAGTATAATACTTGAAAATAAATTTTAATGCTATACGATTAATCTTAACGACTTTTATTTGAAAATGTATAATGAGCTGTTCGATGTTTTACAGCTATATCGACAAATACGGTATAAATCTTATTTGAATCATTATGGACTTGTTAACATGTTAAGTTTACTTATCTCATGCGATTTGGCTTCCACAAATGAATTTTACCGTGGTTAGTACTGGCAAAAGTCTTCTCATCCGTGAAGACTACTCGCGACCATAACTCCAGGTCCTCCCCCACATATTGCTGGCAAACTGGAGGCGACCAGTGCGGTGTTGGTCAGTTAGCCGTTCCTTTATGGAAGGGACTCTGTGTTGTGTGCCCGCCTTTTGCAAACGTGACCTGACAGTCTGTGCACAGTCGTCTAAGTGTAACGCCTCTCTGATGGTGACAGCGTTGGAGAACGGGTTGTTTTGGATTGCTGCTATTATGGTGGCATCCTTATCCCTAGTAGTCAGTCGGGGGCGTGGTCTTCTTTCTGAAAATAGGCACAATACTGTTTTTGGATCTCCTGTGTCATAACCTGGTATACCATTAACGCTATGGTATACACTCACAACCTTTAACAAAAAATCATAACATTTACATTATAATATTTGTATTATCATATAATTTATATAAAAATAAATATCTTGGATATTGTTTATATCCCGGTTCAATCTGAAATTTTCATACATAACCAAATCAGTTAAAATATCCGTTTCAGCATATCTCCTGATCCACTTCTTCACAGTTGAAGTCGAAACAGGAAGTAGGTCTGCGATGGCACGCACCTTAAAGCCTTCTTCTCGGAGGGCGATTATTTGGCCGCGAGTAGTTAAGCGCTGTTGCATCGTGTTCATGGTGACAGAAGTAATGCCAACTGTTGATCTTGTATTCACAACAACACTTCAGTCAAACTCTTATTGGCTTATTAGACCATGCCAAGTAATATGTGATTGGTGGGCATAAAACCTGATGCTGATGTCATTAATAAGATAGGTAACTATTGAAAATATTGTTACCTAACGATGAGTAAAGTCTTTTGCCGAACAATTGTTGATTTTTGGTTCGACAAAGAGGAACCAGATATTAAAATTCATTCATCAGCTGCCACTTGGATACTTCATTTTCCCAGTAGCACACATTTCAAATACAATTCGTATTATAATTGCCATAATTATGACTGTAATTTATTTATAATAATAAATAATAATGGTTGCCCCTCGTGTAACGAGGATGGCCGGCCCAAGGGCCACCTAGGCGTGAATTTGTTTAAGGTGTAG